AGGCTAATCTGGTTATTTTAAAATAGGTCATAGTTAATGAATAACGTCACTGGTTAGAAACCTTGTCAATATCCCCGAGGGCGCATTCAAGTCGTTAGTGTTTCCCGTTTTTGCTATTTTCAAAAATTCCTTTCAAAAAGAAAAAAAATACACGGGGGTCAACATATATTACTTGCTAGGCTAAACTATTTTTGGATTTGATAAATTCATTAAATAAACAAATTAGAGAATTATTAATATTGTCACAAAATAGAATAATCTGAAAAATGTCCACCAGGGTGAGCTGGTTGTTAACAATTGAGCGGTAGTTAAAACCGGAAAAAATATTCTCCCCAAAAAGCAGGGAATTGAAGATATCACGAAATGAACAATACTGAAAAAGTTCCACACACAATACCAAGTATCAAAGCAATTTTAAAAATATAGAAAATGCAATTGTTGACTGCCATTTACGATGACAGCGGAGCTAATAAAAACGAAAATAGAAAAACAGGGAATTCTAGTGTATTTTTAGGAAACGGGTAGCAGTGTGGTGGTATTGTTCTTGTTCTGTTTCTTCCGCTATCGCTGCAAAACACATACCCCCTCTAATTGCACGTTAGCTGAAAAATTGTTTCGATTACTATTTTTTCTTATCTCCGTATGCGGAAATTGACCTATATCATGTTCGTTCCCTTTCTTATTCTGTCGCTTGGCGGCGCTAACAAAAACAGCCGCCTATTCACCAATCCGCGGTGGCGGACTTCCGGGTATTTTTTTGGCCAGGTTGTTCTTGCAATATTTCTAGGTTTCATTTATCATTATTCAGTAAACAAGCCCCTGAAACGATTCAATATATCCGTTAAATACGTGCCAATCGACGATTTGCTTCGAAACGCTCGAAGTTTCGAAAAAACCTCCGGCACACCTTGCGCGATATGAGTCAGATCAGTGGAGATGTGTAGAGGTAGCCCCTCAAGATGGCGACGTATTTGACATAATGGGAAGGAGTCGTGTGGTACAAATATAAACTCGCATAAAATGTAGTTTAGGAGAAAATTGTTTCCAAATTCTGTTTACGCCAATATAATATATATATTTTTTTAATTCATGAAATCAATAATAAAATAACATAAATGAGCCCGCAAAATTACATGTGCACAATATAACAAACATCACGTCTGTATTATATGGCACGGTGTTCGTCCTTCAGCGATGTGTTCGTCTCTCAGCGATGTGTACGTCTCTCTGCGATGTGTTCGTCTCTCAGCGACGTGTTCGTCTCTCAGCGATGTGTTCGTCTCTTAGCGACATGTTCGTCCTTCAGCGATGTGTTCGTCTCTCAGCGATGTGTTCAAATTACATGTATTAAACAATTAGTCCCAGAACTTTTATTTATGTTTTCGAGGCCAAAAGGTTAGAGACTTGTTTCTAGTGTAAAAATATGCGTAGATTTCAAATGTGCTAGTCTGACAAAAAATTACTTGGACAGATTTTTTATTTGCTTTTAAATCAGGGTATCCCCATTCCGATTTTGGCTCGTTTTGCTCGAGTCTGACTAACAGGCAGTTGGATATTTAAAAAAAAATAGCTGTAGTTACATGCTACCAGGACAACAAATTTGGTAACATTCAAAAACTTAGAGTGTTTCTGCTATAATATGGGGATAATAATTTTGTTTTTGTGTACATTATATATGCAAATCTCTAACCAAACACAGCCCCCACCCCCACCCTCGTGAATCTATGAATACATGCTACATTTTGGTATGTTTATGATATGTTTACCCTCTTGGTATGTATTTGACAACACTGATCAACATTCTGCAACACAATATACCTATATAAATTTGAAAAAAGCAAAGTCACAGAATGAATAATATGTATTAGAGTCGGATCTCATATTCTAACTAAATATCTCACTTAACTTTCATTTATGTATTTCTTATTTATGCAAATAAAAAAAATACATATTTCACTTCCTGCTAATTTCGTTATAATGCATAGTGAACAGATTAAACATGAACATCACTAGCTAGTGTTGTTTGGTATTGCTTATATTATGCAAAAACACTGTACATAAATACCCAAAACGTTTCCACAATCACCCATCACTGTCCTCGGCATCAGATTCATCATAGCCATACAACGCTTCCTCATAGGCCATTTCGTCATCGGCGCTGTCTTCCCTCCAGTCATCCTTGTTTAAAACTTGATGAACACTTGAGGAACTCGCTCTCCTCCAAACCATTTAATGTGATATAAACCCACCCTGCATGACCATTGTCCTCGGGTTGAAATCGGCATGGTTCTGGTAAGTTGGCATCTTTCCACATTGAAGCTACAAAGTTGGCACGCTTGATTGTGTATAGCAAGACTGTTTTACTGGGTGGCATAGAGCTTTGGTTTACTCCTTTAATCCTCCCCATGCAATCTTCTTTCCTCTTAGGTGCATAATGTTGCTGGTACATGGCATATCGGGCATTATCCACATCGGTAAAAATGGCTTTCCCATATAAGGCACACTGCTCAAGACTAGACAAAAGATGCTGAGAAATGTTCCTGCTCTTTCCTAGCTCTGCAAATGTTTTGATATCATGAGAGCAAAAGGCTTCGAATTCCCTTCAAATGATGCCGTGTAGTCTGATCCCGTGAAAGAATGGAGACCAGGGAGTGAATCCAGGATATTTAATTCCCGATGACCAAGATGGACAGCGAGTTGTGTGATGTTGATGTAGCAATGAGTGTTATTACTGCTCTGGCCTACATTCATCCATACCCTGGGTTGACTTTGATTTGCTCCTGTTACATGTGCAACATGATATAAGAGTAGTATAAACACATCAGTGCCATTACTTCTGACATTGATTTTTGCATCATTTGTCTCGTTGAATATGTGGCACCGATGGTAAATCATCCCAGTGTTCGCTTCTTTATGCTTACACCTCAATGAAATTACTGTTTCTTTGACAACTTCTCCATTTGCTTCAGTGAAGCGAAGACACTCTGTATCATACGCCAAGTAGACTTGGTGACCATTAAAGGTATATGCATAAGAACTCTTAACCCACTCTGACGCCAGGAATCGAAACAAGGAATCTTTGAAAGATGGTGAATTCATTGCTTGTTGCCAATCCTTAGGTATCTTTTGTTCACTGTCTGTGATGAAAAATGCTGTCTCCTCTGATCCACGCCGGTCCATCTACAAGTCCACGATGTAGGGACTAAAATATGTGTCACACACAGAGTCAACTCACTCTGACATTGAGCATAGTATGCCCAGAATATGTGCTGCAACATCACCATATGTTGAAGGTAGATTTTTCTGTGCACGCAGTAGAAACATAGCATCTACAACTGTGACACTGATGTGATCTGGAGCTGTACTTTCTACCATTCCTTCAATTTTGTGTAATAGTTTAGCTTTGTCTGTCTTGTTTAGAGATCCATCTATATGAGCCAAGGAGAGTGGAACTGGTGTTAGAGGGTATTTGAATACGAATTGTAAGCCAAGTTCCTCAACTGTGCTGAGATAAAGCAGTCTTCCAAATAAATCTCTGGTTCCTACCACCTCTTTAATCTTCGCATAATTTGCACTGGTCTTTTGCCTTACAGCAGTAGATGCAAAGATTTTTACTTTCCTTCTAGGAATTGGTTTCTAGAAGCGGGATGGGTCCTCAAAACAACTGGTTTTGAACTCCTCACACCATGCTTGCCCCCTTTGAACACAGTTTAAGAGATCATTTTTTATTACATCATCTACCTTCTTTCCTGTTGAGATACGATGTAGGTTTTCATGTGGCTTTTGAGTGAATGGATTCATGCTTCTCCGGATCATTTCAATCAACTTCTGCAGATCTTCATTGCCCATTGTTTATTCTGTATGGCTGAGCCCTTTTGTGATATCTTCAGTAGATTTCAATCCGGCTTTGGTCATCAGGTTACTGACAATACTGCTTCTCATAGATCTGGTCACTATCCAGCGTCTCTTTGCAGTGTTTGATTGACTAAATGAAGCTATCCCTGTTAATCGTGATGCAGCATCTGCATTCACTGTTTGTTCAAGAGCCATATCAACCGGAGTCCTCGAAAACGTCCTCGGGGTTCGTTTCACTGAAAGGGAAACCATCCTCCAAGATTTTGCGCACTCCTGGATGTGTTTCATCTATGTTCAAAGAATATCTTACCATCTAACGAGCATAACTGGGCCTATTTCCTGCGAAAAAGATGGGAAGCTTCTGATCTAAGGCATAGATGAACAGGTCTAGGTTGTTACTCCTGCATGCTCGACTAAACAAAAGAAATATATGTACATGCTTGACTTATAGCATCCAGAATCACGCCATACTTCCATGTTCAACAGACATTGTGAACTCAATATATTCTGTGTACTTGTCATGATATCTTGGTAGTCACTGGAAGGCTGTTGATAATATAGGATGTAACCTCTTACATCTATGAAATAAAGAAAAATTAAGTGCATTATATATACAACAAATTCATTTCAGATAAGAGTAAATGTATTTTAGGTAGTCCTACAGTCACAAAATAGTGTAAATTTTGCAAGAATAAAGAAAGACACAGAAAAGTATAGAAAAGTAGCAGATGACTTTGAAATATAGAAAGGAAATTATAATGATTGTGATTTTACCTGTTGTAATGCTTTCCTAGTAGGAACCTATTGAGTGATCCAGGTGCTAGAACCTTTGTTTCTGTCAAGATATCTGGACCTCCAGAGCCAACCAGAATGTGTCCTAAAGCACCAAAATAAGCCAACTAGACGTGGAATGGTTCAAAGCATATGAAGATGTTGTCATGCTTTGGGGCATATTCTGCTTGTATCAGCATGGTAGCTTTGGTCACAGCAAAATCATAGTGCACAACAGCAAAACTCCTGCCCATACTCTCTGGCCACATGCTGGGAAATGTTGAGGGTTTCAGCTATCACATCCAGCCTTGTAGGTGGTAAATTGAGGTTCTCCATGTAAGCAAGTTTTTGTTTTGACAGTGGGTCATCAGTCACTAAGGTATTCCATGCAGCCCACATGGATGTTTCTGACGTTGTTGCATTCATCATCCAAAATATATCTCTGTGTTCTATAATATTTAGGTTCTAGAATATCTTTGACAGCATAATGAAAATCACTTGTTTTTGGCTTTTTTCTGTAGGGCTCAAGAGTGGTCTCCGTTGTATGAAATGAACGTTTCGATCTTTTGGATTGTGTTCTACTATGTTCACTGGTTGTAAAAGTAGATTCTTCTTGGACATTACTGGTGTGTACAATATCCGTAATGTCAAATTCATCATTCTGATAACAAATACCAACTGTATCAAGGAGAGTTCCACTGCCTGAAAGGGTCTCATTATTGTAAATGTCCCAAGCAAGAGCAGTACAGACGCCAGGCATCTCGTATAAACCATCTGGTGTAGCACAACACCTGTCTGATATTTCAGTTGCTAAATCAGTCTCTATAGCCTCTGCGGTGTGGTATTCAAAACAGTGGCCAAATCTATTTAGAATATCTAACACCTTTCTATTTCCCGTAAAACTTTTCGAGCCTAGTCCCAGGCATATATGTTTGTTTGGCTTTATTCTTGCCCGTGTTGTTGCAAAGATTACATCACCTGAGACTGACTGAACAAGTCGTTGAATCTTTTCGTTTTCTGAATGCATGGTAGACCCATATATAGAGAACTTCAAAGAACTGTAAAGGTTTTTGTGGTGTGTTGGTCATACCCTCCTTCAAGGTCTCTGCTGTAACACTTTCTAGCTCTTCTGACGTGGTCAATATTCTGAGGTAGAATGCAGTTTCTGTGACCAAGCCTTTATCAAAACATGCCCTCCGAACTGCAGTCTCTACAGTCAAGTTTCTATTGTAAATGATAATACCTAATTGTTACTTTGTGCTGGTTTAAGATTTCATTGTTTTCTTTCATGACATGAAATGGGCATGCAGTGAAGTGAGCAATTCGGCTACATTTACATCAAAAATAACACCATCAATAAAACCACACTTATATCTGAAATCAAAGAAAACCATTTAATTCATCATGTTTATTTATATAATAACAAATGTAATACATACTTGCATAAGTTTAACATAACACAGTTGTTTTGTTTTGTTGGCAAATTAGTGAGATAATAATTGATCTAACCACAATATGGTAATATGAGTAAACTTTTAGATATTTAGACCAGGTTTTCGCAAATAGATTCAACGTGTTCAATGATCCGAGTATCAATCACATACTATTACAGTCAGTCAGTCATATAGTGCCTGTATAATTGAACCCTGATGCAGTACATAGTTACTTCTATATATAGTAGGTCTCAATCCCCACTTGTTGTTTCTATAAATACCAAGTTGCGTATAAACATAAGGTTTGTATTTCATCTCACATTTAATTCCCACAGCACGAATTTTATTCTCAAGATCATATACCTGTTGTTTATCTGTGAAATCAGCATTGAAAACACTGATCACATGTTGGTAATCATCAATGGCGGAATTAAAAGCTGTTATCTGGGCACGTGTTCCTAATTGTGCATTTACTGTTGCCGTGGCAATAGCATGCCAGGCATGGTCTGCTTTAAAGCCTGGATCAAGGTGTATCAACCAACTACCGCAAGTCACATGATGTGCCTTTGCCAAGTCGTATATTGTATGGTAATTGATTGGTCGACCAGACTGTTGTAAAAGTTCCCACTCTTCCTGTAGACCTTTGACATATATAGTATCATCTGAAGGAGGGGGTTTGAGCAACCAGCCAAAACCAGTCTGCCTGGAAAATAAAATAAAGCCAATTACAACCTATTATTGATATGCAGATCACTTGCCATTATTGTTCATATTTAAATATTTAACAATTCCTGTTATGATTTTTTTAGCTCAGGAAATGGAAAAGGTGATATGTTTCCAATAAAGCAACTAATAAAGCGAAAGAATTGAATTGAAACCTATTCATGACTTATCGTAATGTGTCACAATTGTCACAAGCGCAAAACATAGTTGTGCTTGACAGAAGGACAACGAAACTTGTCATTTCAATTGACATCAGCATTTTGACCAGAAAGCTTTCGTTCCAATTACGAATAAATATGTATGTATTTTGGAAATGTGCATATGAAGTTTCCTCTCCTGTGATATAATAAGTGACATTAATAATTACAACTTGAATGTTGGAATAAAATTCCATTATTCAATGTGTAAATCAAAGGAATTGACACACGCGGCTTGGCTGAGATGTGACAATATTGTAGGCATACGAACAGGATGTGCCGAAGTGACAATATTGTTTTTGAAATGGTTTCTGTCAATATGCGTTGAATAATCAGTAGAAAATTTGTTACATTTTCGAAGTTGTTTATATGACCTATTATAATTGGATTATGGCTACGTACATTTTCGAACGTAAAATCTTTGTACAACGTCAAACATAACGACACGGTTAAGATATAACGTAGCAAGGCCAATGATATTAATTAACAATTTACAAACAATAAAAACTTATAAAACTGCAATGTATAGACAAGTATCTAATCTTAACTGCATACATGTATGAAATCACGTTATGTGCCATAGCTAAGTGGGATATATTTCGATAGCGGATTGATCGATCGGACTGTTGCAGGAGTTTCAACACTTCTCGTAGTCTTGCGTCCTCACTTCCATATGGGCTTTTTACGCAAATATAACCAACACCAGTCTGTCTAGAAAAGATACAAATATAATACATTTTAATATTATGAAATAACCAATTGTTATAAATAATTATTTTGAAATTTTGAAGGTATTTATATGATAAGTGCTCATATCGTCTGGCTATACAGCATATAAATTGCAGCGCGGTGCAATAATACAAAAAACAAGCCACACAATTAGCACAATTCTGGCCAGCACGTTTTTACTTTTTATGTAAAAGCAAATTAATAATCCGTCGACAAATACATCGTTTGTCAGAAATGTATCACGGTGTACTCATATAAGGGTCACGTCAATAAAAGTCCAAAGGTTAAATGCAAGTTACCTGCAATATATATACATATATATGTCAGGATCAGTTATAAACTGGAAGAATACCTATAAATTTGTGACGGAACATTGGTTTCCAAGAAATCTTCAAATGATACGGAGTCGTGTTTATTGGGGTCGAATATGATCCATTCGGCCATGGCATCAGCCTTCGATTCCGCGGCGTACTCCTCTGCTTTTTTCCCCTCACGTCTGTATTTGCGATAAGCAATTGTGGTGGCACCATGCACCTCTCGACTTGTTCTATGTCCTTGGATGTCATCTTCCTGTTTTAATGCCATGGCGTGATCTTCTCAAGCGTCACGTGTGAGCTCTTCGTTCATTGCTACAGAGCTACCGGAAATTACATATCATTACATGTAGCGATATTCGGTGCTGCTCCCTTTGCTTCATTCTGTCACTTGGTGGCGCTACCCGAAGATATTGTATGGACGTACTGCACTAAGAAGTCGAGTTATCACTACAAATGAAGACATCTGTTATAGAGGTTGGCCGATTAGGTATTCGGGTTGCAGAAAAAAATTGTTACCAGCAAAAGGAGATGCAGATGCGGATATGAAAAACGATGACAATGGTGAACAATCTCCTATATGAATAGCTCTGCTCTGTTGTATGACAATGACAACAGTTCTCAACACAGAACATCTAATAAATGCAGTCATGGGACAAATAAAACGTGTATATTAATTGTAATTGATGCAGCTTATCATTTCAGATACATACTTCAACTTTTCTATGGATAGTTCACTTTATTATGAATTTATTCTATTTGCTGATCATCAAGTAAATCTATCAGTTTGACCTTTCCAGAGTTGGAGTAACACGGTATGTAATTGATATTTACTAAATTTTACATTAATTTTAATCAATTTATGTTATTTTCGTCAATGCAATATGTTGGCAACACCATTCCAATTCCAAAGCCGATTATTTTGGTCTATAGAAGGATTATGTTCTTCAATCCTGTCCAAGGTACTTGTCGTTTTAAATACCAATACACACATATTTATGCCACTGCTAGGATATACTGCTATTTAGTTGATGAATATATCAAATAAAAATGAAAATGTTAGTAAACAAAAAATCTAAATAAGTGCACTGCAGGATCAATGTAGCTGGCAATATTATTGGAAATGCGTTCATTTTGTTATAAGTATAAAAACTCGTCGCATGTTAGCTGTAACTGAATCATAGTATTGGTAATCCCTGACACAACCCGTTGTACTACAAAAAGCAGTAGTGCAGGTTGTGTCATATGACTTATTATAGTAATATTCTCTGGATAGTGTGTTTTAGTTACCATTAACAGTTTATTGTCACATCCTACCATATTGCTTGGCGACCAGAAATAAATGATATTCAACAAAAATAAACCACTCATTTCTACTGGGAAATGGCTATACAATATAAACCAATTGCTGAAATACAGGAATTCCAATGTTTAAAGGAATGTTTAGTAGAATGTTGTTAAAAAGTATTTGTTTGCACTGTCAGGAAAAGAGTAGGTACTGTTGACACTAGTTAGCCCTATACTATGGCGGCCACTTCCACCACTGCAAAATACAACCATTGCAGCTTAACTGAAAAACGATTCGGATGCAATTCGGTATTCCAGGGTCTTTGATGGATTAAATAAATTAGACCACCGCAACATTACATTTGCACATACACTCTCACAACAATATAACTCAGAGAAAGCCTCAATGGGTTTATGACGGTGCCCACATTTTCGTCAAATTAACAAGGGTCTCATTTGATTGGTTCAAATGTGGACTGCTCTTCCTATCCAGGGTCACTAATATTTAGATCAGTCATGTATCTAACATGCCATGCTTTGGCTGGTATGTAGTAAGGGTTCAACTGTTGTATGTACAATATTGGAGAAACTCAGTCTGAACAAATGTGATGTCGTAATATTCTGTAACAAAGGGAAGCTTGTTGTGCATCGGTATTACTTTAGAATAATAAATTGATTAATCGGGTGAATGTCATCAAACTATCAGTTACCTTAATTTTTGTAATCGACTGAATATCATTGTTGCCAGTGCATTTAAGATTGAAACGTTATCGTATTAAACTTATTCGATTGATTCGCATAGATGCCCATAACATTCCACGTTTGTAGTTAATTTATTATGGGTCTGAGGTTAATTTATTTTTGAGGGAAGGAATGCCCGGAAACTGTTTATTCATACTCACTCGCATGTATCAGGATTTAAATTTGATGATTTCATTGTATCCGAGTCAATGGCTTTGCAATTACACACATTTGCACATGTAATTATGTTATGGTCATCAAAATCAAGCATTTCCACCATTCAGAAAGAGGATATTCTGGATAGTCTTTTTTAAATTTGATACATACGTTATGTCATTACCTCCATAAGTAGGTTATGTGTTCAATAGTTTTGCTTTACTTGACTGTTAGCATGATAACTAAAACAGAGTTGATGGATTCTTCAGGAGTAGCTACCATTGATATAAGTATCAGGGGGAAAATCTCTCTTCTCTCTGGGTTCTCCACACTTGTCAGGGGGGAAACTCGTCTCGTCTCTCTATCTCGTCCCCTTGAGGTACGGGATCGGGAAAGTCACTTTAACTTTACAGTCAAATAAGGCACACACAACGAAATACGTTTCAACTCTCGTCTTAGTCGATCTTTTGGAGCACTCTATAAGACACAGCGCCCTGGGAAAAAGTCCCCAAGACTCTCACAAGGCTGAACCAAGACTCGTCCAAGACTGGACTGCCTCAAGGCTCGCCCCTGGACTGGACTCTCGACTCTCCAGGACTGCACTCTCTTCTGCGTCTATCGTGCTGTGCTCCCCAAGACCAACTAAAACAACTTTATTCATTTTCAAAACTCTAACCAATTACAAAACAGTAAAAAGACTCTAGGGCGTAACTTTCAAACATAAAGCCAATCACACTAAGTACTGAATACGTCATATCTTTTGATTAATCGTTCACTACATTAATAATTATGAATACCAACTGTCAAAATAGCGACGGATATCTCGTAATTAGTTCCAAATCACTGAGCCAAGTTCCGTCCAAAACTTCAAATAGGCCTAAACGATGACAGACATAACACAGCAATTCAGCTAATAATCAACTAATTAAGTCGGTCAACAGATACGCGAAAACAAATTCATGACACAAGAATGAGCCTATTAAATTTCGATACAGACATGGGTATGGTTTCTATAGAAATGCCAATTTCGGAAATAATTTTTCATTTATAACTAGAAAATTACGTGCAGATTTCCATGAATGTTTTCAGAAGAGGGTAGCCTTTATGTTATTGTTATGTCTTTACTTCTTTTTTTCTTCTGCAATAGCTTTTTTAGTCATCTACATCTCAGACACAATTAATAATAAACTTATGAAACTTTGTAAACTTAAAGAGCTTGATTCAAAGGTGAGCAGTGAATAAATTAAAACAGTTTCCTCTACTTACCTTGTCGGCCATCTTAGAATTAAAATTAAACTATGAGTGTTTATTTTTTGGTATTTAGCATCTATGCATAAAAGAGAAAGTTGTTTTCAAAGCTCTTTATGATTGGTCTCACATTGTTTGACAGCCATCTTAGTTCAAAAAAGAAAGTAGTTTTATAATGATGCCACAGTTAGCTGATCGATTTGAAATTTGCCATGTTGTTTCTGTGTTGTAACCACTCCAGACAGCAGACAAATTATTTGGATTAGTCACGTGATTTGGCCGCCATTTCAGATTTCCGTCAACAAACAACAAAGAGTGCTTTAATCAACCAACTTGAAATTGTCTACCTCGTATTATATCCAAACACTCCTACGAGAAAAATAAAATAATTTTGATAAGGCACTTGGTTTGACTGCCATTTTGGATTTGGTCTGCAGTATGATTAGGTTAAATTAAAATCGGGAGTCATTCCCAAAACTGAAATAAAAAAAATTAAATTCGTTTATGAACGTAACGTAAAGTTGTCATGGAAACAAAAAAGTACAGATTTTCATGAAATTTTCTTGACGGTGAAAACATATATATTGCAAATAATTTTTCATTTAAAAGTTTTTCATTTATTTTTACGTGGAAAAAATTGATTATATTTTTTCACACTGAACACATTGTTTTCAATGACCATTCGTTAACAAGTTAATGAAACAATTCTTGAGTTTTTAAGTAGGAATTGTCCTTCAAATATAAGCCATTATATTCTTGCAGGTTATTTTATACGGATTCATCACCATCCTCTGGTAGCATCATCCAATTTGATCTTTCTGTTCAAAAAATAACAGAAGCTTAGTATGTGAGTATGATGAATGTATACAATAGTATAGTTAGGTTATGTAATTTGCATATCACGGAGGCTTGCGCTATTGGACTGTCTTAGTGTAATTTAATTGTTTTTGTTTCTTTTTCGATATGAAAATGACCGTCTTTTCCTTTAAATTGACACTAAAAAGGTACACATTTCCAAAATGACAAGTTCAGCTTTTTACATTTCCAAATGTTATATTGTTGTGAGAAATCTATAGAAAGTATGTTCTCTTATTTGTGCATATAACCACCAGAATCAACAATGTTTGTTGGAGGTTGGCTTCGGTTGTGGTTGGATGTGTGTGTTTTATTTGTTGGTGTGTTTGGATTTGGATGGGTGGGTTTTGGATAGTTTGTTGATGGGTAGAGTGGATGGGTCGGTTTTTTATCTCGGTAGGTATGTGTTAATGACAACATTCAGCTGATAGATGACGTCACCTAACTTAACTTGACACAGGTTGCGCCATTTGTGGCATTTGGCTGACAGGTTACGTTTGGCTGATAACAGATTATGTTTGGCTGATAACAGGTTACGTTTGGCTGATAATAGGTTCCGTTTGGCTGATAGTTGACGTCATTCTGCTGGTAGATAGCATCACTCACGTTATTTAGACGATAGTCACAGAATCACTTAGATATTATCAACCGGTAGATGGCGCCATTTTGCTAATGGTTACACCATTCAGCTGATAAGGAACGTTTTTCGGCCAATATTTTTATTTCAGCTGATAGGTGGCTTGACTAACGATGATTTAGCTGACTAATATCATGATTTATCATGTCATTAAAAAAGGACATATATTTAAGTATTATAGTGAAAACAGTGAAAACAGTGAAAAGACTCGCTTTTTAACTCAACATCCCCATCCAGCATCGCACATGTTTTCAATACGAATCAACTGTAGGACCACTTTACACCATCTTTACATTTATATACTTATTTGTGGGTTCTGTTTTTCATATATACAATCAATAAGTACT